TTGCTTTACCACTGCCCCAAATCATTGTTGATTTAGCAGCATCAAGCAAATAGGTAAGATCATTAAGGGTCATTTCAAGGTCTGCTACATAGTAGTCCTAAAAGAACTCACTATATGACTCAGGAAGTGATTCATGAACCTAGTCAACAGTCAACTTCCTTGAGACTTTGACACCCTACTCTCCTGTCTTGTCAATATGTGACTTATCCTCCGAGATGTAAGCACATATAGACTTTGCTTTCCAATAGGGATTGAGTGACCTTGAACTTTTCAAGTATTTGAACTTGTGGGATAGGGAGAATAATTGGAGGGGGTGGAGGAAGGGAAGCATGATTTCCAGTACCATTAATGCACAACGAAGGGATTAATCTTTCACCTTGATTGCCATGTGGGATATCATCTTCAATAGGAAGCTTGTTCTAAAGATTTGGGAAGACCATAGTTGTCTAAGCTAGACATCTATCATGGGAGAAATTCAAGTTAGTTGATGCCGTAACCTATTTATAACTGGAAGAGGGATGCTGTAATCCAAGTTATAAAATATTTGAAGGTAGGTAAATAACGATTACCAATTTCCACCAAGAAAACAAAAATAGATTATTAAGTTTTAATTGGATTTGGAACTCCTAGATCTTTTGAGATACATTGAACTTTCAATGGCATGTTTGAATCTCGATTGTGCCCTCTCAAGTTGTGACTGGGATGTCGAGGATCACAAACAAGGTGTGAATAACCATGCAAATTAACTTGGTACCCTTAACTTTATCACCTAATTGATGTGCCGGTTAACCAAACGCGCTCCACCAATCTATGATAAACATTAAGTTACCCTTTTCCACACATTGTCAGTCCCATGTTAGTGTACCGGTTAACCAAACACGCTCCACTAACGACTTAACAAAGGTGCAAAGTGTAATTTCATAGGTTAGCACCATTTCACATTTTCCTAAGTAACTAAGATTTGGGAATTTATAAGTGTTTATTTAGTTACTTAGTATTTATCATTATACTTTTAATGAAGGGAGAATTATAGTCTTGTCCTACCCGTTCGACTAACGACCCTCCACCAGTCAAGGAAGCGGTCGGTGAGAGTGGACACCCATTAAACTGCCATACTAATGGTAAGATTGACTTTATTTTATACATATTTGTATAATTAAAATTATAATAATAGTATAAGGGTTGAATTTTAAAAATTTTAAAATTCTAGTGTTTGATTTGGAATTAAAGTACTAGTGTGTGTGACACTTTACAAATTCCAAAACTTGAGGGCAAGTTTTGAAACTATTCAAAACCTTTCATATTCATAAAATATGAGTTTAATGTTCCTTTAATGGTAAGACTCTTGAAAATCCATAACTTGAGGACAAATTATGGACCTCATAAAACAATTTATGGGAAAAGACTCTTCAAGTTTATTAACCTATGACTCTTTAATAATACTTTTAAAGAAAAACTTTTGGTTTTCCATAACTTGAGGACAAGTTATGGAATCCATTAAAGGCCATTAAGATCAAGAATTACACTAACAAACAATTTGCACATAATTCCTATGATCTACCAAAACTCATAAGCATGAACATTCATAATCAACAATTTTCAAGAATTACATAAACACACATAAAACTTGAAATTTTGATAACAACCCTGAAATTGGTTTACCATAATCATTACCACATAAAAAACAGGTTTTATAAGTCCAAAACAGTTTAAGGTAATGATTCTAGACCAATTCCAGCCCTAAAACTCGAAAATCTGCCAACTGGAAGACAAACTCATCGAGTTCTATAAGGAACTCATCGAGTTCATGCTATAACACATGAACTCGTCGAGTTTTTGGCCAGAACTCGTCGAGTTTTCAGTCTGGCCAGATTCTGGGTTTTGAAAAATAAGTTGCATCAAGTATAAATGAAAACAAGCGTAGGATCTGATACCACTGTTGGGTTTTGAGCATTCTAACACTCCTAAGGTGTACAAGCAACCCTAAATACCTTGCATCTATGTTTTCTCTATTATACATGCAAATATGAAGTTTCCAAGGTATTACCCTAACTAGCATACAAAGGTTTGATACTTGGGTAATAAAACAAGTTAGATGACATACCTTTTCTTGTGGTTGATTCCTTGGAGCTTTAAGAGCCTAACACCAATAGTGTGAATGCCTCAAGTGGAATCACAAATCACTATCAACAACTTGGAAGATTTGAGAGAATATCTATGCTCCATAAAATCGGCCCTCTCCTTATAACACACACTCTAGTACCAATTTTATGAGCCAAGGACCCCTTTATATATTATGGAGGATTAGGGTTACATCCATGTAAACCCTAATACCTATGACCTTTCATTTACACGGGATCCATGGGTTAAAATCTCAATGGCCTATCCATGGACTTCCATATACTCTTAGCCCATCCTAAGTAAACCTTCGCCCATTCCATATATATGTAAGAGTCCATATTTAATTAGTCTCTTTTTGATCACTAAATTAATTCCAAATTAATTCTAGATCAATACTAATTAAATAATATGATTTCATATTAATATATTATAACTAATAATATATTAATATATCATATATAACCTCTTCTCTTAAAAGTCTATCCATACAAATTGTTTCGGTGGAGTGCAACCCAAATGAACCATGACGTGTCGGGTCAAGTATATACCAATTATAGTTATGGACTTAGACACAAATCCAACAATTATTTCCAGGAGGTTGGGAGTTGGTGGAAGCAGTGTTCGTAAAGAATGTTAGTGCAGAGGTCGTTATCGGTTAACACTCAATGAATTTGATTCAGGTGCACATAGGTCGTTATGATGTATGGATCCCTGGGATTTCAGCTGGGCACGCATGGGTCTTTCATTGAAAAGCTAATATTTAGGATGTTCTTAGGGAGTACCTCGATATGGCTGACTGTCCCTTCGTGCTCGCTTCGTTCGGGAGGTCTCGCGATGGTGATAATTTCCTCCTTAACTTGACGCTTGCCCGCATCTTTTCGATCTCCTGTATTCCTCTGGTCAGCATTGAACTTGGACCTCAAATCCTTGGCAATTGCTATGAGGTCGCCCGTTAGGCGTTTTTCATCCATTTCCTTCCTCAGGACCGTGCACTCGCCGGTGTCGTGCGTTTTACTTTTGTGGTACTTATAGTACTTCCTTTTTTCTTTGTCCACCTTTTGATGTGTTTTCTCAACCGCATGCACCTCAGCCCGGTGACTCCGAGGCTCATCCTTACTGAAAGGGAGAAATTTGCGAGGTCGGTGTCTTGAGTGCTGGGTGTCTTGAGTGTTGGTTGTGCTTGTCGTGGCTTCTGTCATGGTGGTCTCGGTGATTGGAGTTTGCATTGGAGTTTTCTTCCTTATGCTTCATATACACGTTTGCGACGGCTTTCAGGTAGGCTTCCTTCTGTTCCTCGCGTTCGATTTCGGATGTATTTTTCGACTCTGTATTTGAGTTTGTCTCTCGACTATGGTACGATCTCGTGCATCTTTTTTTATAAGGACCCGAGGAGTAGATCTTCGGTGAAGGCACCGGTTACAAAGAACTCTTCGTGATCCAGAACGCTGAGTGTCGCCAGTGTAGGGTTGTTTTAAGGCTGTGTATCTCTAAGTACGCGCCTGGATGGCGCCAAATGTTGTGATATGTCTTCGAGCCTAACGTGCTGATGGATCGTATCATCTGGTTAAGCCTAAGAATCACATCAAAGAAAGAGCCGACGTTAGTCGTCATCCGGGAGGGAATCTCGGAACGAGACTCCAATGGTCTAGTCAGTAAGTGTATGGGAAAATTAGAGTTTAGTATTAGATAGAGAGAGGGCGATCCTTTCTTCTGGAGAAGAATGATCTCTTTTATGCCTGTCGTCGAGGGAGTTTGTCCCCGACACTACCTTTTGTCTTGCTTGGACTGTTAGGACGTGGAGACATCCTATTGGTATATTTTAGTATTATTTTTTCTTAAGTTCCTTGATTTTTCCTTTTGTTCGTTAATTTAAATTTCGCTATCATAAAATCAAAAATCACTTAGAAGAAAAACAAGCTTCATCTTTAAGTATATCCCTTTATTTTTTTCACGAAATTCATGGAGTATTTTAGTATTGTTTTTTCTTAAGTTTCTCCATGTTTCCTTGGAATTTTTGAGGAACTATCTAGGAACACACTTAAATTCTTTCCATTCAACATAAATGTGAGGCCTTTTATTTTCTTGGAAAAAATGATACGATTTATTTTATAATAATGAAATTGTAAAAAGTATATCCCTTTATTTTTTTTCACGAAACTCATGGAGTATTTTAGTATTATTTTTTCTTAAGTTCCTCTATGTTTCCTTGGAATTTTTGAGGAACTACCTAGGAACACAATTAAATTCTTTCCATCCAACATAAATGTGAGGCCTTTTATTTTCTCGGAAAAAATGATACGATTTGTTTTATAATAACGAAATTATAAAAAAAAAATTAACGAGGAAAGTTAAGTGTTTATAAATTTCATAGGAAATACCGAAGAATTCTTACTCCTCGAAAACATTAGTAAGGAAATCCCATACGCAAGTGATTTTGGTATACAAAAATCCAAGATTTGCACCACCATTGCATACCGCTAAGAGTTGAAGTAAAACAATAGACACAACCTTGTAAGTCTTTCATGCATTCAAGCTTATAAACCTAGTTGACTTGGGTCTTTCAACCAATATGGGACTTATTCCCACATTCACCTATTTTGCTAATTTTATTCTCTAATACCCGTCTTTGAGTATCGATATTTCATTCACATATACTTTATTTTGAACATATAATATATTGTTTCGAAGTTTTCACTGAGGACAACACAAACTCAGTTATAGTTAATTATCTATACAAGATATGTATATATTTATAAACGTACAAAATTAATAAAAATATAAATATTTATACTAAAATTTTCCAACATACTGTTTAAAGCACATACATCATTATAAAACATATAAAGAGAACGGAATCAAAATGGAATTACGCACATGCATTAGTTTGTATTACAAGCACTTGGAACTAAAAGCAACTCATGCTTTCGCTTTAGAGCTGCTCCAAAAGTCTCACTCATATCAAGGTCTTCAGATGTTGTTCCATCCGGGAGTTCCCAATTGAAGTGGTGGAGTAGCATCGCAAGAGGTAGCTCCACGTTGATCAATCCCAAATTCATGCCAGGACACATTCTTCTTCCAGCCCCAAATGGGAGAAACTCGAAATCTGTTCCTGACATGTTAATTGGATTATCACTAAATCTTTCAGGTACGAAACTTTTTGGATCAATCCAGTAGTCTGGATCACATCCTATTTTCCACACATTGATCATAACTTTTGTATTGGCAGGAATGTGGTATCCACCAATCTCACACTCTACTCGGGACTCTCTAGGGAGTAACAATGGAAGAGGTGGGTGCAACCTTAATGTCTCCTTAATCACTAGCTTTAAGTAGTCAAGTTCTTGAATATCAGACTCACAAATCTTGTTCTTTCCCTTGAGTACATGTCTCAGTTCTGCTTGCACTTTTTTCATCACCTTTGGATTTTTCATTAGTTCTGACATTGCCCATTGAATCGTTACTGCAGAAGTATGTGTGCCTCCGGCAAACATGTCCTGTGCCATAAAAAAAAACATGAGTTGCAAACTACATTTACTGGTAAGTTAGCTAGGTGGGTAATTAACCCTAGAACATTGCTATTTGTGCTTTTTCGTGTATAGTGTCTAGTTTTATTTTCATAGAAAGCATTGGTGACAGATTTGCGCATGTATCGTGATTGATTTTCTGTCACAAAAACTTATATTTTGAAAATTGGTGTCCAATTAAAAGAATAAACAATGTACGTCACAAGAATAAATTAACCATATTTGTTTAAAAGTGTCATATACGGCTTGCATTTACCTTTGCATGCATTTTATTCAACATAATTAGTTATTGTTGGGTACATTCTACTTGATTTCTTGCATATAAAATATCGAGTAATACCTTCAAAAATTTATTCCATATTCATTATACATGATTCGGCCCGTATTTAATAACGGTTGAAAAACTCATGTACCGCTAAAGCTTGATGCATGTATAAAAACTAATGGGATATAATCATTTATCTCTAATGATTTAGCATAAATAAAGATGGCAAAAAGTTAGAAACTAACAAGACATGATAATTTGACTCAGAACTGAGACATGAATTATTAAAAAAGTTTGGTTAAGAGATTTCAATATGTATAATTAAATGGGTTGACATCACAAAAGAAAATTATAAGAAAAAATAAACGGATCAAGACTTTACTTTCATTTTTTCACTTTTTAATTTATCTTCCACACTCGGCAAGAAAACAAATTGGATATATGACATAATAGGACACAAAAATATTTAAGTAAATAATGATTCATTTAATATTTCAACTTGACAAATTAAACAGGTCATGTTTGCAAAGTCTAAGCATTAATAACATATAATTTTAATTTTAAAAGTTAGTCGCTATATTAAGAAAGAAGTACCCTTCAAGATTTTTTATTTTTTTTTAAGAAAGAAGTGATTATTTCGCGACGTAGATAACCGCATGAGATCTGTTCATTAAGATGTCGTACATGTTTGCCAACATTTATTTTGCATATATGTAACAAAATACTAACCAAGATTACTGCTTTGACGTTGGCAGAAGTTAACGGAAACTGAAGACCCCCGTCATCTTTAAGCCTCAATAGAACATCAACCAGGTCTTCATTGTCAATGATGTGTCCACCTGCTCGACGTTCTTGGTGCTCGGCTACGATGCTGTCAAGAATCTGATCCATCTTCTTGTGTAACTTCACTAACTTTTTCCTCACCCCGGAAACTACATGCAATACTTTCACAGAAGGAAATATATCAGCCACATCAAAACCACCGGATAAAGCTATAATCTCTTCAAGCAACGCTGTAAGGGTTGCCTGATCCTTACATCTGCTCCCAACCGCAACCCTACATATGATGCTATTTATCAGCGTGAAAGTCTTCTCAGAAAGATTGATTATTTTTTATGTCTGCATAGCCATGGATTCAATGAGGTTCCACGACTCTTCTTCACGAATAGATCGAAACGACTGGACCTTTTTTACACTCAAAAGCTCCAAGGTGCATATCTTGCGAATCTGTCTCCAGTATTCTCCATAGGGAGCGAATGCAATATCTGTGTAGTTGTATGCAATGATTTCAGCAGTTAGAAGTTTGGGTCTGTCTGCGAAAGAGAGATCATGAGTTTTCATGACTACTTTGGCCAAATGGGGTGATGAGATTACAACAGCGGAGACTTCACCGAGTTGAAGACGAAAGACTGGTCCTAGTTTTTCGGCTAAGTTTGCTACAGCTCGGTGTGGGAGTGCGCCAATGAGATGATGCATGTGTCCGATTAGAGGGAGCTTCCATGGCTGTGGTGGAAGCTTTGTCGTTGTATCAAGGGAGTTGGAGCTTCTATGCGATTTGAAGAATAAGAAGAATATGGCAGCAACAAAGAAAAGGAGAAAAAAGGGGATTTCGAGTTCCATTTTAGCTTGGCGAAGTGCTTGTTAGAGAGCGCAACTAAGGGTTTCTTATAAAGGTAATATGAGTTGACTATAAAAAAAGGAAATGAAATTATCAAGTAATAACATATTTTATTTGTTATAATTATTTAGTACTTAATTTTTAACAGCAAATTTTATTTCAAAAATAAGATAATAAAGGTACATAACAGAGATGCGGTATCTCATAGGATTAAGACACAGTTTGACCGTTAGAAGTTTATATATATATATATATATATATATATATATATATATATATATATATATATATATATATAGATAGAGAGAGAGAGAGAGAGAGAGAGAGGTAAAAATTCAAATGAAAATCACAAAAGAATAAGAACCTAAGAACTTCTAATTTTAGCTTGTTAAAATAAAATAGTGGCATTATTGTAAATAACAACACATTTGAGTCTAGTTTCACAAACAATTTATCATATGTTGCAAACTAGATCTAAAAGTTAAATTTGATTCTTTCTTTCATAGTTCTCAAAAACTCAACCCATCAATTCTCTCCCTCATTCCACCGGTGGCAGGAACCTCCAGCTGCTATCATCGCCGCTACCGATGTGTAGTTCGTCGGAATCCAAGTTTGCACCATCGCCGTCATCCAGATGTGTGATTTCTATCCGAGATCCACCTAATCGAACCACCAGATGCATCACTAGCTTCGTCCTCCTCCACCTTCAGAGCTATGATTTTTGCCGGTAGCCGCCACCACCGGCGACCAGCGAGATCAGATTTACAGCTGCATCAACTCCGAAGACATACCTCCTCCGACGACATCACCTTCTTCATCCTTCACTGTCACTCCAGCAGATCTACAGCCATATCCATCATTTTCTTGTTGATTTCTTGTGAACCAATAGATCTACATCGGATCTCTCTAGATCTGGATCAGATCTCATGAGATCTTCTCATGAGATCTGCATTGGATATCACCAGATCTGATGTGTTTGTGCATTTTCAGTTCAGATCAGATCTGGTCAGCGCACCAGATCTTGAGATTAACGAATTTTCGAACGCCATATCTACTACCTAACACCAGATTTTCATCAAATCTGATGTGTATGATGCATTTCATGTATGGATCAGGTGTATCTGGTGCATTTCATGTTGGCTTGCATCAGATTTTATTTTTGCAGATAAATCTTCAAAAAAAATCAGGTACGTCGATTTTTATAAATAAATCTCTTTTAAGTTTAGTTTTCTACTTGTTTTTCTACTTGCATCTGTTGTAGATCTCTATGATATATATTTTTTTTTTGTTTTTTTCTGTTAAAGCGTGAATTTGATGTTTTAATCCCTCATTTGTTGTATAATTTTGTTAATCTTAGTTTTAATTGTTATTAAGTTGTGAATGTATATTTTTTTTTTTGAATTAAACTTTGAATTTATTATGCTAGTTTGTTAATTTTCTATATTAAATTGTGTATTAATTATAATAAGTGTTTTAAGTTGATAATATGGATGTGAAAACTACTTTTTGTGTATTAAAATATGAATTTAGTGTACTAAGCTGTGATTTTTGTTTTTTAAACTGTGAATTGATTGCATTAAGCTTTGAATTTTCTTTTTAAGCTACGAATTGACTGTATTAAGCTGTAAATTTTCTATTTGAACTGTAAATTGACTAGATTAAGCTGTAAATTATGTGTATGAAGCTATGAAGTAACTTGTATTAAGTTAAGCTATGAATTTTGTGTGTAAACTTTGAATTGGCTATATAAAGAGTGTTAAGTTGAAAATATGGTTGTGGATGCTTACTTTTTGTGTATTAAACTTTGAATTTTGTTTACTAAACTATGATTTTTGTGTTTTAAACTGTGAATTTACTGCATTAAAGTGGGAATTTTCTTCTTAGACTATGAATTGACTATATTAAGCTGTGAATTTTGTGTATTAAATTATGAATTGATTGTATTAAGCTGTGAATGATTTAACATTAAGTTGTGATTATTTTATAATTTTTTTGTTTGCTTTTGAAATAATGTAAATTTTATTCACGGCTTAATATATTTAATTCACAATTTAAAATATGAATGATTTATGTATAAATTTTTTGTTAATTTTCTTCTGAATATATTTATTTTTTATGTTGTATAAGTATGTAAGAATACATTAGTTTTAATAATACTTTTGCATTAAATTCAAAATGAGTTAAATAAATGGTTTTATTAGACTGTGAATGTAGTATTTAAGTTATTAATGCATGACCTTATTTACACATCTGATTTAGAAGAAAATGATGGTTGTGATGCTGATACATGTGGTTAGTGACAGTGTATGGTGGTAGTAGTAGTAGAATTTGAATTTTTGATTTCTTTGAGTTTGTGAATTATTGTAAAATGGTTTGTATTAAGTTGTAAATTTTGTGAATTAAGCTATAAATGGATTGTATAAACTTGTCATTTATATAAGTTTTGTGTTCAAATATGAGAACATATAAGAATGAAAATATTATACTGCAAAAATTACCATTTTGCCCTTTTGTCACACCCCCATACGGGAACGGCGGAAACGTTCGGGGCGGAGGACGTCATATGTAGTATCACAACACATGCATCATAGTAATCAAAGTAACAAACAACCATTGCATTAATATTAAAGTGTTTACAAAGTATGTGATTCGCATAAGATTGACTCCAAAAGTAAATAACAAAACAAGACATGAAGCTACTATGCTCCATCTTCTGAATCCCAGAACGCATACATGTCTTCTAGTTTCTTGAGAATACAAGTTATTTTGAAAGAGTAGATCAACATTTAAGCTGGTGAGTTCATAAGTATTTTAGTTATGAAGTATACTATAAGTTCTTTTAGAAAAGTTCGCATGTTCCTCCAGAAAATCCTATATTTTCTGATATGATGAAAGATAAGTAAAAATGACTCTACAATTCCTTCTATGAGTACTAAATGGATACAAGTTATATACAATTTAGAGTAAACAGACAATCGATTGTGTGAATTTGCCCTAAGCCCACAACCAAATAAGGAACAAGAAATGAGGCAGAAGTCACACATCCCACTGTTTGTTAAATCTTCATTGTATATAACCTTGGCGTATTCATTTGGTACTTTACTTAGATTAACTGTAATAGTTCTTTTATATTTGATGAAAACATTCTTTAAGAAAATCATATATTTCCTTTAGTAAAAATGGTAACCATAATAGTTCTTTCTATAATCACTTAGTTTATACCAGCTATATATAATCTAATATCGAACGGACAGTTAATTGTGTGAATCTGCCCTAAGCCCTCAACCGAACAAGGAACAGAAAATGAGGCAGAAGTCACACATTCAACTTCCTATCGGATATTAATTATATATAATCCTAATGTATAAATTAAGGCATTATAGAATTAACCACTAAAGGTGTCACACCCCGATCCTTGTCGGAATCGATCGAGGCGTGATATATTGTTCAAAGTCTCATGAAAACTATGTTATAATATGATTAGATTCAATTAAGTACTAAGATGCAAACAAGATCCACAACATACAAATACAAATCTAAATACGAACAACATTTATTACATCAAATTTAAATAGTCTTGTCGATTTCTAAG